ACGAAGAGTATGGCAGCACATATCACGTCTTGTTTCCATTCAACCTTCCTTCCTTGCACTCTCCGCTTCTTACCCATCCCCCTTCACCTCACCCACCCTTTGCCACGTCCCGTTTTCCTCCCTCCTCTCCCCCCGCCTGCCTCTCTTCCCGCAATTCTCTCCCCCCTCCTCTCTTCCCCCCCCCCCCCCCCGCCTCCCCACCCCCGCCCCTGCACCCGCACCCGCACCCTCACCCCGCCACCCCCACGGGCAGCTGCGTGTGTTCCTGAACGCGTATCTGCTGTTGCACAGCGCCAACAGGGCTGCTGTCATCGCCACCGGCCACTCCCGCTGGTTCGTCTCCCTTCCTGCCTTCCTCCCTGCCTGCCTGCCTGCCTGCCTGCTTGCCTCTCTCCCCCCACCTCCCCACCTCCCCCGCCACCCCCACGGCCAGCTGCGTGTGTTCCTGAACGCGTATCTGCTGCTGCACAGCGCCAACAGAGCTGCTGTCATCGCCACCGGCCACTCCCGCTGGTCCGTGCCCCTGCCCGACCGCCCGCCCGCCCGCCCACCCGCCCGCCTGCCTGCCTGTCTGCCCGTCTGCCTGCCTGTTTTTCCCTCTCACCCTGGCCACCTGTCAACCATTTCCATCTCCTCACTCCCTTTCACGTTTGCTTGGGCTCGCTCGTTCACATTACCGTGCTTGCTTGCTTGCTTGCTCCCTCATGTCCTACTCTACGCCTATGCCCGCTGCCTTCGTACCCCAACAATCCTCCAGTGCATTTGTGCATCCTCCTGCTTCTGACACCTCCTCCGCCTCCTCCTCCTCGATTTCTTCTCCCTCTTCTCCTGCCGAGGCAGCCGTTTCACAACTGCTCAGCTTCGCAGCAGCAGAGACCGAACGGGCCAAAGCGGAGGCAGCAGCAGGGACAGCGGACGGGGAGAGTGCGGGGAGAGAGGATGGGGATGGGGGCCCAGAGAGAATGGAGGGGGTGGAGGGGAATGGGGCGATGGATAGGGAGATGAGGGACAGGGAGGGGAGTCAAGGGGGGGGAGCGAGTGGGGGAGGAGAGGGTGGGGAGGGTAGGGGGAAGGGATTGGTGGGGGATCAAGCTTCGTTGCTGTCAGGTTCTTTGTCAATGGCACTAGCATGTAAGTGTTGCTGCCTCTCTGTCACCCTCTCTCAACCTGCCCAGTTGACTTTTGAGTCGACTCACAAGTCATCAAGCATCGCTGTTATCAGGGTCTTTGTCCATGGCGCTCGCATGTGAGTGTTGCTGCTTCTGTCACCCTGCACCCTGCCCAGCCTCCCTTCGTCCCTCTAGTTTTGAAGCGCCTCAAAACAAGCTTCGTTGCTGTCAGGTTCCTTGTCAATGCCACTAGCATGTAAGTGTTGCTGCCTCTGCCCCTCTCACCCTGCCCAGCCTCCCTTCGTCCTGCGCTCTAGTTTTGAGGTTCCTTGTCAATGGCACTGGCATGTGGGTGTTCTTAGTGGTGGTGCTGGTGGTGGTATGCCTGAGTGTGGTGGTGGGGGTCTCATGACGGCATGTGTGGTGCTGAATGGATGTGCTTACGTGAGAAACACCTGCAACGTGTGCTTCTGGTTTACGGCCTTGTCATTTAGCCAGCCCACCAATTCATGAAACACCCGTGTTCTGCTTTCCTTGTTCTCCTCTCTCCCCAATTCTTTCTAGCCACACCTGTTCCATATTACAATGCATTCGGGGCTGCTTCTCATCTCTCCTCTCTCCTCACTTGCACTTGTTCAATCGTGTGCTTTGAGTAAACTCAGAACACACCTCGTTTAACCTCTCTCCACCTTTCTTCGCCTCTCTCCTGCCCAACAGACTGTGTGAAGGCCAGCAGCAAGGGCATGTCAGCTCCTAGACCACGAGTAGGCCATGGGGTGGCATGGCATGGCATGGCATGGCATGGCATGGGATGGGATGGGATGGGATGGGGTGGGGTGGGGTGGGGTGGGGTGGGGTGGGGTGGGGTGGGGTGGGGTGGGGTGGGGTGGGGTGGGGTGGGGTGGGGTGGGGTGGGGTGGGGTGGGGTGGGGTGGGGTGGGGTGGGATGGGATGGCATGGCATGGCATGGGATGGGATGGGACAGCATGAGATAGCATGGGATGGGATGGAAGGGATCACAAAAGCTCCTGTATTTTCTGTTTTCTTGTACTAGTGTGCTGTGCCCCCCCCCCCCCCCCCCCTTCTTTTTTTTTTCGGAACTGTTTCTTTCAATGTTATTTTGTTCATGTAACTTTCTGCATTCCTCGCTCATGCCGCAACGCTACTGACATGCACGGAGCCTGTGTTTGAATGCACACCATCTTGCTCCGTCCTGACATGCATGGAGCCTGTGTTTGACATGCCGCAACACACATCATCTTGCTACGCCCTCGCATGGCCGTGCGTCTATGCACCCACCTCTGCTGTTCTTGGCATGTGTGTGTGTTTGGGGAGGGGGATGGGTGGAAGGAACGGGGTGCGTATGTGCGTGCGTGCATGTGTGTCGGAAGGAAGGGGGCATGCGCCTGCTGCCGTGCGTGCTTGCATGAGTTTGTGTGCGAGTGTGTGCGTGAGTGTGTGTATGTAGGAACATGTGTTCGAGTAGGTTTATCTTATCATGGTGCACCATGGCATGTGTCCATTCCATGGCCTGATATACATGTGGCTGCATGTCTCTCTCTCTGCATGTGTGGCATGTTTGTGCATGCATTGGTGTCTGCATGCACGTCTGCATCCTTGTGTGCATGTGTCCATGTGTGCATTTGTCCATGTATGTATGCATACTCGTATGCATGCATGTTTCTATGTGTGCTGGTTTCAGATACTCTGCATTCATGGCTCACCAGACGCGGCTCAACAGTTACGTGTCTTCCACTCTTCCATCCCCACACCTATCCTTTCAATCGTCCTTCCATCTATCCGTCCATCCATACATTCATCCCCCCACGCACCCACCCATGCCATGCCCTATCATCAGCTGATGCATCTAGGCGCCTCAAAAGTCGCATCCGCCCATGCCCATGCTGTGCCACACCATCAGCCGGTGCATCTGCTTACTTGCTTGCTATTTTTGCAAACGTCCGAGTGCAAAGTTAGGGTGTGTTCTAAGTCTGTGCGCCTCTCACTCACCTCGACGCACACAGTGCAGATAAAAGAACCACTTCTAGAAGTTTCTTTTCTAAAAGCCTAGCCTTAATAGGACAGTGTCTTACAAACCGCTCTCTATTCGTCCCCTCTTTCCTCTTCCCCCCTTCCTCTCTTCCCCTCCCCAACCCGTACCTTCTCCCGTGTCTTTCTGTCTTTTTGCTTCCCCTGCCCATCCCATCAGGTACGTCGCAATAATGAACGCCATTTTCTCCTCGCAGAAAGCAGGAGTAAGCTGCTCGTTGCACTTAGTCTTTCAAGCACAGTCAGAAGCGCATGGGCATGGGCATGGGGATGGGCATGGGGATGGGCATTGGGATGAGCATGGGGATGGGCATGAGGATGGGGATGGGCATGAGGATGGGGATGGGCACACGCGTGGGTGCGAGCATATGCACGGGTATCGGTGCTTCGATTATCCGGATGAAATATTTCATTTGACTCAAAATATGGGTATGGCAGCTTCCATGATCCATCTCCCGTCGTCCTTGCCTCCATTAAGCCCTTGCATCCCCCCTCGTCACTGCATTCATCTGCACTCCCGTTCGTCCCTTCCATGTGCGTGTGTGTGTGTGTGTGTGTGTGCGCGCGCGCGTGCGTGCGTGCGTGCGTGCGTGTGCCTGCATGTGCATGCATGTGTGGATCCGCATGCATGTATGTGCATGTGCGTACATGTGTATGCACACATCCGTCCACCACAGGTGCCTATAGACGCATGTGCTATTGGGGAGGCGGATTCTGCCTTTATGCAGCAGGTGGGTGGGTGGGGATCTGCTGCTGCCGCCTGCACGCATGGAAGCAGCACGGGACGGGAATAGGCAATCGGTTGTTGTAAATTTTCCTGTCTGTGCCTGTGCCTGTGCCTGTGCCTGTGCCTGTGCCTGTGCACATGGCATCACATGGCATCACATGGCATCACATGGCATCACATGGCATCACATGGCATCACATGGCATCACATGGCATCACATGGCATCACATGGCATCACATGGCATCACATAGCATCACATGGCAGCATTGGCATTCTGTCGCGTGCATCGTTGCATCACATCAAATCCACCACAGATGTATCTCTCGCTCTTCCTCGTGCTTCCCTTCCCTATCACTCCCTTCCCCTGCCCCCACTGTCCGGCCCTTGCCCCCCTCCGCCCACACCACAGGCGGCATTCCTCACAGGAGGCCTTTATCTGCACTCCACACGCCCCAACGCCTTGCTGCAAGACCTTCTGGTATCGTCATTCATTTCTCCTCACATATTTTTCGAGGACTCGCAAAATTGCTCACCACGGCTTTCCTGCCAGGGCTTGCCTTCCTTAAATGATCGCTCACAGCCCTCACAGCCCCTGCCCGGCCATTCCCCGACCACAACCATTCTTGCCACTCCGTTCTCGCACCTCTGCTGAATTTCACTCCCTCCCACCAGACAACTGCCCTCCGTACAGTCCTGCCAAGTTCCTGTTCCCACACCTTCCTGTTTCTGTTCCTCCTTACTTTTCTGCCATGCCCCTCGCTTTTCCCCCAGTGTATCTGACAAGCGCTGACTTGTTCTCTTCTTGCCTCCTCCCATACCTGCCCAACTCACCTCCTCCCCTCCTCCTCCTTCACCCCCCTGACCCTCTCACATGGTGTGCAGCTCGTGTTTGGCGTGGACCAGTTCTCTCGGGACTTCATCACATTTCCCCTCGCCTCCCTTCACCCCATACCTCTCGCTCACTCTCTCCCCCTACGTCCTCCACCCACCCTCTTATGTTTCTCCCACGTGGGTGGCTGCAGCTCGTGTTTGGGGTGGATCGGTTCTCGCGGGACTTCATCACATTGCCTCAGCCATCAGCCGTGGACTTCAGAGCCTCGTACGCAAACTGCCTTCACATGCCTGCCATACCATGCCTGTCCTGCCATGCCATACCATGCCTGTCCTGCCATGCCATACCGTGCCTGTCCTGCCATACCATACCATGCCTGTCCTGCCATGCCATACCATGCCTGTCCTGCCATGCCATACCATGCCTGTCCTGCCATGCCATACCGTGCCTGTCCTGCCATGCCATACCATGCCTGTCCTGCCATGCCATACCATGCCTGTCCTGCCATGCCATACCATGCCTGTCCTGCCATGCCATACCATGCCTATCCTGCCATGCCATACCATGCCCGTCCTGCCATGCCATACCGTGCCTGTCCTGCCATGCCATACCATGCCTGTCCTGCCATGCCATACCATGCCTGTCCTGCCATGCCATACCATGCCTGTCCTGCCATGCCATACCATGCCTGTCCTGCCATGCCATACCATGCCTGTCCTGCCATGCCATACCATGCCTGTCCTGCCATGCCATACCATGCCTGTCCTGCCATGCCATACCATGCCTGTCCTGCCATGCCATACCATGCCTGTCCTGCCATGCCATACCATGCCTGTCCTGCCATGCCATACCATGCCTGTCCTGCCATGCCATACCATGCCTGTCCTGCCATGCCATTCCAACGCCGCGTTGCTACCCCTCTTCCATTCCCCCTTCTCACTCCCTTGTTCACATTAACCCCCTTCCTCTCTCACACCTTGTTGCAACACCCATTATTCTCTCTCCCAATCACATGCGCATCCTGCCCTCTGTTAACCGTCCCAGCCCTCATAATCTCTCCAACCCCCCGATTGCCATCTTCGTGTGTGCATCGCAGTTGTTTCTGCCATAAGCGTCCAGTGGACATGGGCTTTGTGTGCTCCGTGTGTCTTTCCATCTTCTGCTCCCCCGCACGCACCTGTGCCACATGCGGGTATGACTTTCAAGTGTTCTTCTCTTTCCATTTCATGGTAGTTCCTTCTCTTAACGTGATTTTTTCGAGCCCTTTCTGTCCTTCGGTGTGTCTATTTCCGCTCCAGATTTTGCGTCTCTTTATCTGCCCTCGTTTCGTTGCTGCTTTTTCCAATTCAATCCATCTTACCTTCATGTTCAGTTCATCGCTACTGATGTTCTTCCCCTGCACCTCTTCCCACGTATCTCTTTCCTTGCACTGTCCTGTCCGTACACATAACAGAGCCGAGTTCGCATCAGCAAAACGGACAAGAGTCAATTCGTCCCAGCAGCAACAACAGCAGTAGCTACAGCAGCAGAAGCAACCACAGCCAGAACAGCAACAGCCGCAGCCGCTGCCTAGCATTCAAAAACGGTCACCACATGCACTTCTGTGCTGTTTCATTTCCAGAAAAATGGGAGGTGTTACAGGTTACCATAATAGTGGAATACGCTAAACCAGGTCGAATACGAGTCACACAAACCAATGTGCTAGCTAGTTTTTGTGATGGAATTTCGGACACTCCTACGGCAAACCCGCAGGGCAAACCCTCCACAAACGTGTGCCTCCACTGTACCTATGCCTTTTAGGGCATCAACTTCGGGTCAGCGCCAGGGCAACGAGAAAAGGCAGCTACGGTAGTACCGTAAGTCAAAAACATGTATCATTACCCTGCGTCGTCAATTTAGAATTCCCTCCGTAACAAGTCGAAACATCAAGAACAAGGTGTTATTTTTTTGAGTCCTTAATGGGGTAGCAGAATTGGGGATAGTAAGAGCTCTGACTTCCACATTAGTGCAACCTGGCAGGACTCGTTGGTTGAACACATCGCAGGATTGTTGCTCATGTACGTACGGGTACCATGTGACCCATATAAGTGTATACATTCCAAGATCATGAATACCACCACCTACGAATTGTGTCTTATTAAACAATTATATCTTCCCTTTCATGTCTTGTACAGTGGGGTTGGGCTGGGCGCACAGGACATTAACAATAATACCGTAGCATTTATACCAAGAATGTCTTGGTTTGGAATGACAAGTCCTTTCATGCCCCCCCCTCACACTGCTCGTCTCACCAGCCCTCTTCTTCCGCCTTGTCCCGCCGGTTCAGTCACCATAACACACATATTCGAGGCTGCTGTGCCACCTGCTGTTGCTGTAAACACCTGACTAGCAGCATCGTCCCGTCCCTCTCTCGCACCGTTACCACCACTGGTGCTGCTGCTGCTGTGGTCGATGCTGTAACTGTCCCAGTTCATATCTTCTCTCCTCATACTATCCCATTGACCTTGATCCTCCTCCCCATGGCTGCACGGCCTGCTGCTGTGCCCATCTGCAGTGGTCTTGCCATGTGTCCCACCCAGCAGCACATCTGTCCCCGCGCACATATCTGCCGCAAGGAGAGTGCTTGAAGAGATGGTATCATGCATGTCCTTTTCGGCGCTGTGGCAGCGGCACTGCAGGTGCCGGTTGTCAAACCACCTCGCTTCCAGCTGAATAGGGCAGTTTAGGCAAGGGAAGAGGGTGGTGAGGGCAGGGGGAGAAGCACAGAGAGAGGGAGTTGGAGATGGAAAAGAAAAAGCCCGTCCCTGGTCACCAGTGATGTCCCTGGTGAGAGAAAGGCTGTATCATATGCCTTAACACTGACACTGAAACTGCATTGTGGGAGTGTCTCTTGCCGTAATAGCTCGTCTCGTACCTCATCCAGTGGCGGCAGGTGCAGATCCCACACTAGGCCTAGTCGCTGGAGGCAGCATAGTATGTACCATGTGATGTCAATCTGGCGAGGCAGTCACAAGGGAGGATAAGGGGGCAAGCAGGTACAGCAGATGAGACTATGTTAGAGGCATGAATCAGGCATATGGCGCAGGCTTGGTGCTCTGAAGATTGATGTAAGAATAGGAGGTATGCGGCACGCAGGTTGGGCGGTTTTTTTAAGGCCTTGTGGTCGTTTAGGAGTTGAAATGTATGCAGAGGGAGGGTCAGAGACACACACACCTCTTGTGGGTAGAAACCATGCTTGGCCGAGCGCATATAGCACTGGATGCTTGAATGCACCACCACTCACATCACATGCACACACACATGCGCCCATGCGCGCACAATCATCCACGCATGCACATGCACACACACATGCATGCCCATGCCCACGCATGCTCATGCATGCACGCACACACATGCATGCACGCACACACATGCATGCACGCGCGCACCCCCTCCCCCCCCCCCCCCCCCCCCCCCCCCCGGACACCCCCCCCCACACACAAAGGCAGAGGGATAGGATGAATGCAAAGTTCTCAGGCACCCTGCTAGGGTACAGACAGATTTTGAAGGCACCCACAAAATGGTTGAGGTGTATCGTGCCGTGTCTTTTGAGACGTCTCAAACGACAAGAACGTTTTCTCACATATGACGGGGAGCATAGGTTGTGCCTACGCATATGCGAGCGAGACAGAGCGTGTTCTCATCTTACATGGTGGTTGTTGTGCCAGCCCTCGCCCAGAGTAGCAAGTGCGAGGGCAAGGTTGTTGCGCGCATCGCAGTGCGTGTTGAACTCGCATCGGAACCGACGCGACCCCACAAGATGAGCCAACGAGTTGATGCAGTAGCTGGGGCCATGGAGAGCGTTGGAGGGGGGGAATGGGGGGGGGAATGGGGTTTGTTGGGGGGGGGGGGAATGGGGAGGGTGTTTGAGACGTCTCAAAACACGTTGAGCTCGCAGCGGAACCGGCGGCGAGATCCCACCAGACGAGCCAACAAGTTGATGCAGTAGCTGGGAACAGAGAGGGCGTTGGGGGGCGAGGAGAGGATTTTTTAGGCTTGTAAAGAGATCGGCGCTCTTTGAGACGTCTAGAAAAATCGGTGTGACCCCACCAGATGAGAGGTGGGGAGGGGGTGTGGGGCGAGTGGGGAGGGAGGGGAGGTGGGGAAGAAGAGAGGTGGGGGAAGTGAGACGAGAGAGATAAGAGCGGGGATATCAGGAAGGGTGGAGCGGAATGCGAGACGAGGAAGGAAATTACTGGTTGCAGTGCACTTGACTATGCCACACATGCACACACAGGCAGGCACCATGTGCCAGCACACGTACGTGAAGTGCCAGCACACAACAGTAGCCACGCAGAAGCCCCAGCCAAAGGCAGCTACGCCACCAGTCGCCAAGAGAAGCGCGGCCAGGGAGAGAGGTGGCACGTAGTGGTACCTGGTTGGGAAGAGGGTGAAAGGGGGGGAGAAGAGGGGTGGAGGGGGTTGGTGGTGAAGGGAGTGTGGGTGGGCAAGTGACGGATGAAGGAATAGTGTGAAATATACTGTCACATGTGAAAGTGGGGGAAGAATCAGAGAGGTGGTATTGGGACTTGGGGTTGTTGGAAGGGCGGAAGGAAGGGAGTAGCTCAAATGTGTGCTTGTGTGCGTGCGTGTGCTTGTGGGCATACGAATGCATGTGAGTTACGTGAGCATGTGCAAATAGGGCTGGGTTGGGTCGTACGAGTTGAGCCAGTGAAGCTCGGGGAAAGGGGAGAGGTCCGGGATGGCATGCCACAGCACTTGATCGATCCACCCATGCTCAAAACCCCGCCCAGAAGTCACACACATGGGGGTGGGTCGTACGTACGTGTTGAGCCAGTGCAGCTCGGGGAAAGGGGAGAGGTCCGGGATGGCATGCCACAGCACTTGAGTGTGGCGCGTGGAGCACAGGAACCTGCTCGTGTGTGTGCATGTGTGATGTATGTACATAAGTGAACCATACTCAGACCCCCGCCCCGCCCATGGCACACATGCACACACGCGCGCGCGCACGCACGTGCGCATACTCACACCCACACACGCAGACACACAGACACGAACACAAGCACACATACCACACATTCACACACAGATTCACACACACACACACACAAGTGCAGCGTTTTAAAAGGAGGGAAGAGAGGAGAGCAACAGAAAACAGCAGAGGTTACACACACATCGCACCACAATTCGTCCAGCAGAATTTTTAAAAATCCTTCCCACGCATGCTCCCTCATTTGACTCCTCCCGCCAACCTTCTCAAATGCAACCCACACACCCGCAACCTCCCAAGTCTAGAGACGGATCAAAAGTTTGAGCCGCCTCAAATTTCCCACTTCCAACATCTGCAACAACACCCCACGTATGTTTTTAAAGAATTCTAAAAAAAGCATACGCCGCCTCAAATCTCCCCTCCGCAACAACACCCCACCCCCCTTTCCAACCCACCCGTTTCCCCCCCACCCCGCCCGCGCCCATAACCTCTGCCCGCCTGACCTCCCCTCCCCTCCCCTAACCAGCGCTTGCTCACCAGCCCATGTGCGACCAAAAGAAACCCCAGTGCAGCGGGCTATGCGCATCATCTGCTGTGTCTGCCGTCCTGAGGTGGGGGCAGGGGGACAGGCGGGCAGGGGGGCAGGGGGGCAGGGGGCAGGGGGGCAGGGGATGAGGGGGAACAGGGAGAGAGGTGAAGCAGGGGGGAAAGGAGGAAGAGCACGGAGGCAGGGAGGGAGGCAGGGGAACGGTTTGGTGAGTGAGGGTGCATCAAGTCGCACCCACCCATCCCAAGGCAGATACATGCCTGTGCGGCAGTCGTTCCGTGTGAGCTGTGCTAGTGGCACACTTGTTACCTGTGGCGGTGATATCTGCGCTGCTGGCGAAACCTGCGCAGTCGAATTCAGTGCTGGCGACTGTGTGATTGTAACCGTGGTGGTGGCATACCAGTGTAGAGTGTGGCGTGTGGCGTGTGGCGTGTGGCGTGTGGCGTGTGGCGTGTGGCGTGTGGCGTGTGGCGTGTGGCGTGTGGCGTGTGGCGTGTGTTACCTGTGGTGGTGGCGGTGGTGCGACGCCCACCAGAGCGGCCCCTTTTGGAAGGAAAGGCATCCCAGCAGAGCAAACAGGAACTGACCCACTCGCGACGTCTTGAACGACCTGAGAGCACGGGAAGTGGGGGAGGGAGAGCAATTGGGCAGGAGCAGGTGGGGAATGAGTGAACGAAATGAAGAGAAAGATGAAACGAGGGAGGATATACCACCAGACTGACAGGCGCCACAGGAGGAGCAGCAGCAGGCGGGTGGGGGGGGAAAGAGGGGGGGGGGATGGAAGGTGGGAGCAGGCATAAGGTATCCGCGCTATGCTGTGTATCTGGGCGGACTGACCTGTGTCAGAGCAGGTAGTGGTACCCGGCAGTGATGCCGAGCATGCGCAGGGCGTTGGAGAGCAGAGCAGGGCGAGCAGGAGTAGACGAGGCGAGGCTGGGCCGGGCTGGGATGAGATGAGGGCGATTCTTTAATCGACTCAAGACTGACCTGTGGGAGAGCAGGCGGTGGTAACCAGCGGTGATGCCGAGCATGCGCAGGGCGTAGGAGAGCAGGGCGAGCAGCAGCAGGCGAGGCGACGCTGGGATGAAGAGCAGCGTCAGCAGCGCTAGCACGTGCACGCCCACGTATACCTGCTCCACACGCACGTGTGACACGTGGGATGTGGTGGGTGGGACATGGGAGGTGGGATGTGGAACGAGGAAGGGGGTGGGTGGGAGGTGGGGCGTGTGGGAGGATGTTGGAGAGGTGGAGGGTTGGTTAATGAGGAGAGAGGGAATGGCGTGGGATGCGGGATGAGAAGCGGGAAGACGGATTCAGAAATAGGGAGGAGAGGGATGAGTAGTAAAGCGGAGCATTGTGAGCTGTTGCACGAGGGATGAGGGGGAAACGGAAGATAGAGTGCGGGAGTAAGATGGGGACACTGCTGGGACGACACATGAGGGAAAGGGGGGAAGGAGGTAAGACGTAGGTTGGTGATTTTGGTATGCGATAAAGGCTGCGCACCACCCCACACCATGGGACACGACACAACGCTTAACCACGCCACACCACACCACCCACACCACACCCACCACACCACACCACAGCACAGCACAGCAGAGCACAGCACAACACGCCACACGAGACATACCTGGAAGGAGACATCGCACAGCAGGTCCGTGACACTCATAGTCCCGTCCAGAAAAATCGCGCCACTTCCTCCCTTGTCTGCTTGCAACCTCTGCTCCCGCCCACCTCCCTCTCCGCTCGCTGCTTCCCGTGCCTCCCCTGCCACCGCGTCGACTGCTGCGACTGCTACGTCTGCAGATCCATTTTCCCATGCTTTTCCATCCCCATCCCCTTCCCCTTCCCTTTCCGCCACATCCCCGCGTCTCCCCTCCTCGCTCCGCTCCCGCGCCCCTGCTTTGTTCTCGCGTTCCGCGAGCTCGTCTACCCTCCCCGCCCTCTCGCGCGCGCCCGCGCTGGCGCACGCGTGGGGCACGGAGACACAGGCGCTGCTGGTTGGAGGATCAATGTGAGCCGTCGGATCGGTGTCGGCGACAGAAACGGCAGAAGTAGAGGATGGAGCAGGAGAGAGCGAGGCGAGGAGCGGAGGGACGTGAATGGAAGGCCTCTTCGCTACAGACGACATTGTTCAGAAGAGCTCAAATAGGCACGCGACGAGGCGTGTCGACGCAGAAAAAGGCAACCAAACAGTTTTCAGTCGGCAGTTGCAAGTAATATAGTCGGCAGATGCTGGCTCCAAACGATAAATAACGGTACTAGATTATGATGCTCGTCGTTAAATAACGGTAACGATACTAGCAGCCAGGTGGACAGGCGGATCCTGTTAGCTCAGTTGGATCAGCCGCATCAGCCGAAAAGGTGCCACGTGTCAGTCCCTGGCGCGTTGTCCGCAGCTGCCAGATATTGAAGGCTGGATCACCCTGTAAAGGGTGGATTGGGAAGTGGCGCCGAGGGAGGCGAAATAGAGTGAGATAGGGGATGCAAACGCACGTAAATGCACGAGAAATGTTTAAGCGACACGTTCTCTGTAGCTGGAGAATCGAGTTCTCTTCGCGGAACAGCAATGCAGCACAAATTTTCTAGCATTTCATGTGCAATGCAGCGGCCTAGGTGCAATGCAGCGGTCACTACCACGAAAAAACTTCCGGTATTCCCAACGGCGAAAGCAGAAAGGAAAAGCAGGCACCTTGGCGAACACGATCACATTTCTCAGGTCCCCACTCCGTACCTAAAGTGCGTGTCTAATATTTATGATCCTGCCTGCGCGAGACGCGGAAAGTAGAGAGGGCACAAGCTCTTGGTCGGGGTGTAGGATGTCTGTTGTTTCTACGGTGAAGTACAAGCCGAGCGCAAGTAATGGTGGTGGTACTGCTGCTGCTGCTGGTCTGGTAAGTGTACGAGTGTGTTGGACCATTGATGAACCAGCCTCAGGGAGCTTCGAGAATCGAGCAGCAAGGGGGAAGGAGAGGGAGGGATGATCTCGAGGGGGCGATCCCAAGGAGATGATCTCGAGTGTGTCTCTTCTTCCCCAGTGTGTACAGTGCACTGGGAAGGGGACGTCATTGGGGAAGGTTCATTGAAGCTTGCCGGATTTTGGTCAGTTCCAACCAACATGAAGGGACGTCCGTTTCAGAAACCGTGGTCATTTATGAAATTGGCAGTTTTCCAGACCACTTAGCAAAGCGGCAATGTAATCAGCGTTCGCGGATGGTTGCTTGTAAACATTGCAGGGCGTTTTGGGTGGTATTCAAACCTCAGCACACCTAGAGGCCAGATTAGTTGAGTGCAAGACGCGGTGCACTGTAACACTTGGCGCGTGAACTTCAGGGTGTACTGTACTTTGAAGATCCAGCCGCCACCATAGAGCGGAGATTCAGGAAAAAGAGCACGACACGTCACTACATACGTGGCTTTGAATTGTGGTGTGGACACAGGCATCGTAACACTATGAGCACGCGCTTCGCTACGTTCACCTCATCCACACAAGGCTACCCTATACAGTGTCTAAAAGTGCAGTAATCCATATAGCTTCAACATATTCGATGATATTTTTCACTTATTCCAACGATATGAATTTTCCTGGCCAAATTTTAGCAGGTTCAGCAAGTCTTCATCCCCTCTAAAGGCAGATTCGCGTAAACCCCGCACCCACATGCTGGTAACCCGTAGTGTGTTGGTCTTCACGCTGTTAGCCGGCTCTGCCAGCAGCAGCATTCTCCGCAAGTTCCGCTGGACTCCTCTCACTACCGTTGGTTCCTCGTTCCCGAGCCATGGCCGTGAACGGATTTCGGATAGTAACTATCTGTCCATGCGCTCCCGCTGCCCCTCCTCCTCCACCAGCGGCCCTCCCGTGCGCGCACTTGTCGTCACCTCGCATTTCCGGCATCCGCTTGTGTAGGGCACAAATCGGTAGCGGCGGCGCCAGGGACTGTACAAGCCGCTCCCGATCGAGCCGCAGACGCGCCGCGATCGTCGCTGGGGCCGCTGCGAATCGGGTGGGCGGGCAGGGCGGCGGCGAAAGCTTCGATAACAATAGCAATGCCGACGAACCGCTTAGCGCAGAGCGAGGCGGCGCGGGCGGAGGCAATGCGGAGCGCCTCGAGGATCTAGAGGCCGTGGATCGCCTCGCGCAAGAGCTGGCCGCCGCCGCAGGCGCCGCGGGAGCAGCGGGAGCAGCGGGAGCGGAGTCGGGAACTTCCGACCGGCGCTGCGCGGCGCATGAGGCGGAGGAGACGGAAGCGGAGGCGGAGGAGCAACAAGGGCGGAGGGGCGCGCGGGGGGAGGGGGATGATGCGGCAGCGGCGGCAGCGTGGATCGGGTCGAGTGTGGCGTTTGCGGAGGAGGACGAGCAGGGGCGCAAGTACCTCGAGGTGCTGGTTACCAGCGTGCACCGCGTCGACCACGGTACGGTGCGGTGCGGTGTGGTGCTGATCGGTGCGGTGCGGAGTGTGTGTGCTACGGTATCTTGCCACGTGCGTGAATTCTGTTGTGAGATTACGCTCTTTTCTTGTGGATTGGCCTTTTCCACTCCACTCCACTCCACTCCACTCCACTCCACTCCACTCCATTCTGCGTCTCTCCCGTTCCCTTGCTCGCTCCCACTACCCACGCGTTCCTTGTGCGTCTCCTCGTCTCTCTCTCTCTCTCTTCCGCCATGCTCCTCCATGCCTCCCCCGTCCCTCCCCTCCCCCTCTCCTCGTGCAACAGGCATGGTGGTGGGGGTGCTGTGCTCACCGGCCAACAGGGGACCACCGGTGGACGCGTGTCGGGAGTTCCCTCTCTTCCTCAACGACCTCATAGCCGGGCCCTGCCACGACGCCATGCAGCGCGGGGGGCTCCCCAATGGTACGCTACGCTGCTGCTGCTGCTGCTGCCCGGCCCAGCCCACGAGAGAACGGGCCTCCTCGCTCACTCGCTCTCATCTCCTCCTCTTCGAATTCATGCCGTTCCTTCATTTCATTCGCTCCCCTGTTCCTTCTTTCCCGGCTTTTCACGCCCACCTTACCCCCTGCAACGCAACTCCCACCTCTTTCTTCCCATCCACCGCCCCCCACTCCCTCCCTCCCCCACCCCAATCCCCACTTCCCTGACCCAAATCCCCACCAGCGTTGGAGGGGCTAGAGAGGCTCAGCGACATGGACTTGCAGCGAACGCTGGTGCATGCTATTAACGAGGATATAGGGGCAGTGTCGTTCGTGCTACTGGATGAGAAGACCGGGGAGTTCTCACGAGTGGACTCCTCCTTCCCGCAGGTGAGAGGTGATGCACCTCCTGATTCTCCTCGCTCATGCCACGGACCTATGTTTTTATGCGCCTCCGAAAATGGTCACGCGAGTGGATTCTCATTCTTCCTTCCCCCGGGTGTCAATCCTCGTGTGACGCCACGCCACAGCCCAATCTCTCTGCATCTGCCCAGATCCGCCTCTGCCCAGATCCGCCTCTGCCCAGATCCTCCTCTGCCCAGAGGATAGATAGTCCTTGCGAGTGATTTTTGAGAATTCTCAAAAATCACTCTTCCCAGAGGATAGATACAGATACATCACCGCTTCGTCCCTTATTCCCGCCATCCTGCCTCCTCTCTGTCCGCCCCTCTCCTCATTTCCCCTTCCCCTTCCCCTTCCCCTTCCCCTTTCCCTTCCCCTTTCCCTTTCCCTTCCCCTTCCCCTTCCCCTTCCCCTTCCCCTTCCCCTTCCCCTTCCCCTTCCCCTTCCCCTTCCCCTTCCCCTTCCCCCCTTCCCTCCACCCCTGCACTTCCACCCCTCTCCACCCACTCCAACCCCTCATGTTCCCCGCACTCACAACAAGCAGGCCATGGCACTGGCGCTGCGATACCGGCAGCCGCTGCGAGTGGAGCGGTGGTGCATCCTAGCGTCTAACCGCGACTTCATTGAACGCATGCTGCTCAACCCCATCGGTGGGTGCTTCTGTTGCTTGGGTGGGCGAGGGAGAGTGGGAGCGAGAGTTTGGAGCGGGGCAGTGGGCAGGTGATAGCAGCCACATGTGTGGTGCGGGCATACGTGCTGCGAGTGGAGCGGTGGTGCGTCCTGGCTTCTAACCGTGACTTTAGGGCGTGTGCACTATGGGTTCGAACTTCTGTCTAAGTTCAAGCATTTAGCGAGGTTCTACTCGGTACAATACTTTTGCGGAACGTTTCGCCACGGTGCCAAATGGTTAATAGTTCAAACTTCACACGCCCTTATAGAGCGCGTGCTGCTCAACCCCATCGGTGGGTGTCTTCACAGTGGGTGGGCGGCAAAGGTAGTTAAGTGCGGAAGAGAGGGAGGGAGTGAGGGAGTGAGGGAGTGAGCGGGTGAGCGAGTGAGCGCCCAAGTAACTGAGTGAGGGATTGATTGAGTGATTGATTAAATGAGGGAGGGAGGGGGGAGTGAGAGATTAAATGGGTGCAGTGGCAGGTGCAGGCATGCCCTTTGCACTCAGAACCTCCCTCGTTACCTTCTCTCTCCCTCTCTCTTTCACCTTCCCACCTCCTCCGCCCACTCCGCTGCAGCACGGGAGGCGGAGAACGACGCATCGCTGCTGGCAGATCTGGCGCGGCGCATGCGAGAGCTAGAGATGAGGCCGCAGGAGCTCAAGACCCAGCTAGACGCTGCTATCAACGCCGAAGAGGTGAGGCACAGCAAGCAACGCGCAAGGCACCCCAGCAAACCGTTTCATTGTGCGGGAGCTACGGTAGAGATGAGGCCGCAGGAGCTCAAGACCCAGCTAGACGCTGCTATCAACGCCGAAGAGGTGAGGCAGCGCTTAAAGCGGCTCTGGTGGCTGGGGAGGGGAGTGGGTGGCAGAAGTTTGGCTCTTCGTTTGAAGTGCCTCATTAACATATTCCACCTGTTTCCCCCCCTCTCCCCTGCAGTATGAGAGAGCAGCGCAGCTCAAGTCGGCGCTGGTGGCGGAGGAGAGAGTGGCAGATGCAAGGCTCTTCTCCCTTCTCGCAGAGGTCAGGCGCCTCTACCTCGATCGCCTCTCTGTCTTCTTCAAGCTCTAGCTATCTCATGACTCGATAGGGTTCAAGCCTTTAAGACAATTTCAAGTCTTTTGATAGGGTTCTTCTGATGCAACTTGAAGAACAAGTGTTCTTCTCACTGCTTCCCAAAGTTCAATACTACCGTACCTCTACCTTGACCGTCACCTCTCCGTCTTCTTCATACGATACTCATGCTCTTTCACAACGAGATTGTGAGTTTTGAGAGTTCTCTCAGTGTGGCTCCGTCCGGGAGCCTGGGGATTTCAATGCTAATCCGATGTATCCTGTAAGGGGAAGAACTCTTATTGATGCTTGTTCTTGTCAGGGGCTGACCTTGGCATCTTCACCTCCTCATTTATTACGGAAAAACTTAGTACATTCTGTAGCGCACACAAGCATTTATAATCAAACATAACATGTGAACCACAAGATTCTTCTGAACCATAATTTGGACCTGGAAGCTAGGCCTGCACATTTTGCACATTCATTATGTACGGTATGATACCATCAGTCAATCACATCGCACCGCTGCTGTCGTAACACGATGGTCTGACTATGGGCTCAAACCCATCCCTGACACAGTACCGTACACCGCTGGTACAGGCAGACAGACAGAGCCTCGGAATGCGATGCGATGCGATGCAGAGGCATACGTAGTACTACTACGGTAGTAGTTCCATATGGTACACTCAAGACTGTACTGCATCCACATACGGCAGAGGGGTTACGGCGGTAACATCGCCAGCAGAATGATGACAGGATGCCCCTGAAGCGGAGCAGCCCACGCCCATGCCCGTGCTCATGCTCACGCATACACCTCGTGAAGCAGACCCACCAAGATGACTGCGCCCAGCAGCACTACTGCACATGCTGGTTTCGTGCGAATGGGGCAGAGTAGCGGCAGTGGCAGTAGCAACTCCGTTAGGACTCGCCACACCATTGCAGGAATCGCTGTGATGCCTCACAAACCCATTTGGCTGCTTCACCTCCTGCTGCTCCTGCTCCTGCTCCTGCTCCTGCTCCTGCTCCTGCTCCTGTTCCTGCACCTGCTCCTGCTCCTGCTGTTTTTTGGACACGTGGGAACAAAGCGCCTTGCAGCTGGGAATTTTGGCTTCTAAGCTCGGCCTGTCAGCTGCTGCAGCGCTAATCGGGACACTGTTGCTGCTGTTGCTGCTGCTGCTGCTGTTGCTGCTGCTGTTGCTGTTGCTGTTGCCATTATCGCTGCTGTCACCACAGCGGCAAGAGCAGTCACCGAGACTACTTTGACAGTCGCCTGCCTGCAGTGCCGCTGTTGCATGGCAGGAACACAGCCGGTCATCAAGGCATGCAACATCACACTGAGAGGCACGCTCTGCTGTTGCAAAACGCACATAGCTCCCGTTATGCTCCTGCTGCTCCCGCTGCTGCTGCTGCTGCTGCTGTTGCTTCTGCAACCCATGGTGCTCTGTCCCTTCCTCCCAGTCCACCACGCACACCCCTTCGCCCACCATCACCTGCGCTGCTGCCGGCTCCTGCCCGCTCTCTGCAGACCACAGAAAGCTCGCATACGCGGCCAGAACAAAACTGCTCAGACAAGAAACGGGAGGGGAGAGGAGGGGAGGGGAGGGGAGGGGAATGGAGGAAAGGGGAAGGGAGGGTTGAGGTAGAGCCTGACAGGTGGCGGTAGCGGGGAAACTGCTGGAAAGAATGGATTGCGGAGGGTGAGGGTGGGGAGGGGATGGTTGAGGATGAGAAAGCGCACAAGTCAGCAGTCATGGTTGGTTGGTAGGTGTGCTACAGCTACAATGGATGGCAGGAACTGCAGCGCACCCCACCATAAGAGCCAGGGCCTGCGTGCAACAGCCATAGGACCCACCCCGCCAAGACCTCTGTCTCTATTTCTGATTCACGTCCCCCATTCCTCCAAACCCGCGAACCCACTAACGCCCTGTTCCCCCAATACTCCCCTAGCGCAACCCCTCACTCTCCGCCAAACCCGCAACCCCTGCAACCTCCTCCCCTGGTGCCCCCTTCTCCCCCCCCCCCCTCCTTTCCAACCATTTCCCCTGCTCGTTTCCCCTGCTCGCCCCCACCAACCATCAAACGAGATCTCCACGCACCAGTGCACGCACCGGTCCACGCACCAATCATCTTATAATGAGGCGCCTCAGAAGTAAATTGATAAAATAAAAAACACCTACCAGTCATCAGGCGAGAGCTCCACGGCGCGTTCGAACAGAGCCATGGCGCGCTCCGCGTCTCGGCCCGCCTCCCACACCACCTTCGCCCACGCCACCAGCACCTCCGCCTCCCCCGCGCCCCCCTCCGCGCGGCTCGCCACGGCTGCGCGCCGGAACGCCTCCTCCGCGCGCTCGTAGTCCTCACCCTGCGGGGGGGCGGGGACGGGGAAGGGAGTGGCGGAGAGGGAGATGCGGGAGAGGGGGCGGCAGGGAGGGGAGAGCGCAAGGGGGGAGGTGGCTGAGAGCGAAGCGGGGGTAAAAATTGCGGGAGAGGTGAGAGCCAGCATCCATGGCAGCATCCATACCAGCACATGGTAGCGCATGGGAGCAAATGGCAGCGCACGGCAGCGCATGGGAGCAAATGGCAGCGCATGGCAGCGCATTTCGGCACCGTAAGGCATGCCCCGGCAAGGAACTGCTGCGGATGACTTAGAGCCAACTCAAAAGCGCAGTGCAGTGCAGCGCATGGCAGCGCGGCGCAGCGGGCGTACCTCTGCGAGGAACTGCGTGTAGTTGCCCAGGAAAAGTAGAGCGACTGATGCGGATGACTAATGAGCTGAATCTGATTATCCAAAATCCTCAAAAACAGACGCAAAAGCGCATAGCAGCGCAGCGGGCGTACCTCTGCGAGGAACTGCGCGTAGTTGCCCAGGAACAGCGACTGCTGCGGTTGCTCCATTAACGCCGCGCGGTAATACTGCTCCATGTCCTCGCGCTCCCTCTCCCGCTCCCGCTCCGCCTGCGCCTGCTCCCGCGCACCCGCGCTCCCCTCCCGCACCCCCCCCGCCCCATGCCCGCGCCCATTTCCCCCACTCCGCGCGCTCCCACCACCGCTTTCCAGCGCCGCGCCGTGCGTTCCATTCACCCCGCTCTGCTCGTCGCCGCGCCGTCTTTCTTTCCACGGAGAACCCCACTCTCCGCGTTCCCCGAGATTCCCCTGGAGCGCACCCCACGCGCCCGCTTCTTCCGGCGAAGCGGCCCGCCCAAGCCCGGACTCTTCTTGCAGTCGCTGCTGATGCTGTTCTTGCTGCTGGAATGAAAGGGATTCTTGGCGGAAAAACGGAATCGGTGAGCCGTTCGATAGAATCGGCATACCGTTTGCTTTTCGCCCAGCACCGGTAGCGCCGCCAGCGCCATCAGCGGCGTCACCGGCGGTACCAGCAGCGCCAGCCGCACCACCAGCGATATTCCCGTCCAACGGTCGTGCGCGTGTCCCGTTCATGGGCGCCCAGATCGGACGGTCCTCCATCAATATCTCACTCGCGTCATCGTGACCGCCCGCCCTGCTGCCCGCGTAGTCATCGCCTCCGCTGCTGCTATTACCGCCGCCGCCGCCGCCGCCGTCGAAAGCGGGGAGACCGCTTGCCATGGGTCCTTGGGCGCGCCGACCGACCGCCACCAGCGGGGGAACCACCACCGGCACGCGGAGATTGGGCGCGGCAAGATCGAGGTCCCCGCGGTGTGGGGCGGCGCCGTCACGCGCGCCGGGAACGTCAGGCGGAAGGCATGGCGCGCTGGGACCGTGGAACCCGGGGGAGGGAGAAGCGCGCAGGTGGTCATCGTCGTCGGCGGAGGGGGAGGCGGAAGAGGTTGGTCCCCCCACGCCGTGCCAAGAATCGTGTACGGCTCCCGCGTGCCCCGCCGCAGGCCCCGTCGCGCTCTCCCACCCCTGCGCATGGTGACGGGACGGAAATCCATTCACTCTGACATCACCCCCGCTCGCTTTGCCCGTCGCCGTCATCTCCCCCCCTCCTCCCGCCTCCGCCTCCGCCTCCACCCCGCGCATCCCGTCTCCGCCAGCTCCCCCCCACGCCTCGCCGCCAACTCCCCCGCGCCCCACGCCGTCCAGCGGCCACCGCGGCACGGATTTCGGGCGGCCGTTCCAGTCGCGGAAGCGGTCGTTAAGAAGCACGGGGCGGCAGCCGCGCGAGTTACAAACAACGGGCATGCCGTTCGACCCCACGTCGACGCTCGTGAAACCCTCGCCCCGGTCCGACATGAACAGATACTGCCCCGGCCCTTTGCCCTTCAGCACCCGCCCCGCGCATACCTGCCCGTGCCCCTGCTCGTGTCCGTGCCCCTGTCCGTAACCCCTATTGCCGCTCGCGTATGTTGCTTCTAGAGCCTCGCTGTCTGCCGTGTGAAAGCGAGGCTGTGAGTGTTGACTCGATTCCTTACTCGACATCCTTCCACGGATCGGGCTTCCCCCCGCATTCGTCGCCGCAGCACCACCGCCCGCCACAGCTTGACTCCCCGTCGCCCGACGGTCACCCGAATCCCCGTCCATGCCTCTCGCTCCCCCTACCCCTAACTCCGCTACGCCGTCTCGCTCGCACAAGCTGAGCTGCCACCCCGAGCCGCTGAAATCCGGGCACACTCTCGTGCGATGGCTTATCGCGTAACTGGGCCCTAGCAGATCCAGGCCGTTGACTTTCCACGGATCGTGCAAAACGTCCAGATAGTCGTCCGATGCAGCGACTGTGAGAGATGAAACCCGGGAAGCGACGGTTGCGGTGGAAACCGACGAACCTCCGAACGATGACGATGATGATGACGATGGCGACGGTGATGGTGATGGTGATGATCTCGATGCGGCACGCGTGGACACCGTTGCAGTCGACGCTGCCGGCATGCGGTGACGTGAACTTAAACTCCTCTTAGATCGGGGCCCGTCTGTCCCGGAACTGCTACGGCTGGCGCGAGCGACTTGGCTCTGACTCTGAACCTGAACCTGACCCTTCTGTGACCACCACCATGGGTCCTGCCGCGTGCGCTCTGCTCCCCCGCGCTGCCGTCTAAACCCCCGAGACGGTTTTGCTCGTGTGCCATACGCCGCCCTCGGTGCGGCGGTAGCGCCGTTGCTTGATACACCTGGCCTCGGGAGAGGCGGGGATGAGGACAGGGACTGGCGCAATGGGCCGAGAGGCGAGACGGAGGTGACAGTTGCGAACGATGCGGTTAAGGAGAAAGTCAGGTCTGGTTCCGAAGCGACCCGGCGTAATCGGAAACCCCTGTTCAGCTCCGAGTGGACGTCTCGTGGGGAGATGTCAACGCGTAGGCGAATGGAGGAGAATGATCGAGACATGTGGACGATTGGTCTTGAGAACCGGGTGGCACGGTCTGCTTCAGTTCTGCTCCACAAAACCCGCGCTGTGGCTTGATAAGGGAGTTACAGGTGGAAAGGGAGATGGCTGACTGTCGAATGTTTGCGCAACAACGGACCTAAGGCCTCCTAAATAGTACTCATATCATCGATAAAACCACGCCGGCCAGCTCAGCAAGAAATAGCAGCCGACAAATCTCGGCTAACAACAGTGCTGTCACAAAAAATCGTCGGAATGGCTGGAGCAGCTGACAGAGGACCAAGGGAGGATAAAGCTGGAATCAGTAACTGTGAAGGTGGCTGGGAAAAAATCCTCCAAGGTTTAGGCAAGAGAAATACAAACTTCTGGTGCTGTTGCTCACACCGTGGAGGTTGATCATTTGGTTTGAGGGGGAGAGATGGCATGGAATCAGCGAGGGAATGCTGGGGAATGGATGGGGCGGAGGAGAGAAGGGGACGATCGGGAAGGGATGTGAGGCGGAAAAGATTTTTCCCCAGTTGTATTGAGCTGGGGTTGAGTGGATTTGGGTATGGAAGGGATGTGTGCAGGTGAAAGACGGTATGCGTAGTTCCAAACGTTTTTCATTAGGTTTTGTTGGGTAATTGAGGCTGGGAAGGTAAGTAGGGAGGGAAAAAGGGGGGGGAACTGAAAGATCAACCTAGGCGGGAGGAGGGATCCAGGTTTCCCGATCATTGTGTGGCTGCGATGAGCCTCGACATTAGGCGCGCAACAGTGCTGCAGAGATTTGGGAAGAGATGGAGGGGAGGCATGTGTGGTGAGAAGAACGGTGCCTTGGCGGTGACGTGACATAAAATTAGTCCAATGGGAATGCAGATTCCGCTGCGGAGCGAGGGGTTGAAGGGTTTCTGTGGAAAGAAACTGGCATAACGCCAAGATGCGAAATACACAGGGATATGAAGCTGCTTGTAAGGAATTTGGGATTCGTGGCGGCGCAGCTTGCATGCGTGTACTCGTTATAAAATACCCTCAGGGAAGCCGCTGAGCATACATGGCAACAACACTGTATAAGTTTATGTATTGCTATCTCATCTACTATGACATGTCCCTTTGGAAGTTATGCACTCTTGAATCCTGTATTAACTTTATTTGAATGTGAATTTCATCCGAAATGTATTACCACACAGCCTAGTAGGGTTTGAACTAATAAAATGTGAAGGGCTACGTCAGTTATTGTATCGTGGTTCAGGACGGTCCAACAAGGTGAAAAACGGTTTTCAACCGCTCTCCACCGTGTCAAAAAGATATCAACCGCAGTGGGCGTACAAAAAGTTGTACAACCTGACGTCGCCCTGAACGCTGCAAGGCTATTTTCCCCACATGTACGGGTTTTGCTGAAAGGCGAAGAAACTAGTTTTCGCAGCTGTTGTAACACGCCTCCCTGCTACAGCACAACCCGATTGTGCTCATGGCCAATGCCAGCAGGGCTCCACATGCCAAATAGTGGTTCGGCTCTTCGAACCCTGAAGCGGCTCGTCGAACCCTTGCCACACTCAAAAAGTTGCGGGGCACTAGGAAGATTGTGTCATTACGTCTCTGCCACATTGTGCCACTGGTTGTACAGGAAGACACATTGAGTTTCAAATCAAAGATATGTGGAAACAAGTCTGACATCTTTGCATCCACCGTTCAATCCAAGCCAGCACATCTCGGGTGCTGAATCCAACAGTGGATGTTTGGGGAAACGGAGGGGGACAAGAAACAATGGCGTACGATTATGCCGTACGGTTTGTGATACGGTAAGCCGTACGATTCGCAATCGCGCGCTAGCAATCCTGTGAGTGACCCGTCAACCCCCCTGCATCTGCACCACAACTGAACTGAACTCTCATTTCCATTCTCACTTCAATGGAGTCCATGCTCCGTTTCGAGTCGCGCGCGCTCCCCCGCAGCCCCTCTCCCCAGCCACCCCACCCTCTGTTTCCCACATGCGACACGATTTCCGATTCGCGTGATGGCAAAGCTCCATCCAGATTCCTTCGAGCCCCTATTCTCCAACTCCTCACACACACGGTGACCTATCCTGCCCCAGCCCTCGTTCCCAATTCCTACCCAAGAAAACACACAGATTCACACACGCCGCAACCCCAACGTCCTACCGCCGCCATCAAGCATGTTTGTTCTCACGGCCCAGAGTTGAACTAAACTCTTTCTTCCGTCTCGCGTTTGCCACTCCGCTAACTATCAGGTCAAGCTGTTTCCAGCTCTCCTTGTCCTCCGCCGAAGGTCGCCGTCAAGTGCGGGAACTAGTAGTGATTCTTTCATTAGTTCATTGGTGGAAAAAGATAACGTTTCTGTACCGACTGCTGGATTTGCACTTCCCAGCAACAAGTAGTAGTTTACAAGTCGAGGAAAGGTTTGGAGGATGAGGATTGGACGGAAACAAGTAGTTATCCCCACGCCTTCGCAATGGATGGCAGGACGCCTCGTCTACTAGCTCGAAAAGAAACGCCAGACTATCAATCACCCCTAGTTGTGTTACTAGAGTGCTCCCGGGCTCGACTCGAGCAATCCTCACGGCCCTCATGTGCAGTCGCTGTCCGCTCTCCACGCAACTTATTAGCACCAGAACTACCACTGCATCTCGTATTACTAGTAACAGCTGCATTCACGGGACGGACTATCCTTTTAGTACGAAACCGTTTGTAGTAGTAGTATTAGTAGTAGTAATCTTCGTACTAGGTCTCACACTATCATGGGCAGCCCGAGGCCGACGAGGAAACAGATCTTCATCAACAAGCTCCGCACGCCGCTGCAGATCGTGCTCACGTTCGTCGTCGGCCTGCTCATGCCGTTCGGATTCTACCTCGTGTGCGACGCGGGCCTCGGCGTCGACATCGCGCCCTACTGCTACATCGCGGTCGTCGTCATGCTCGTCCTTACGGCCACTATTGTGTATATCGAGTGCTTTCTCGCGCTCTTTCTCGCCAAAGACCCGCCCGACGAGCCCGCCGCGCCGTACCCGCCCGCGTCCGCGATTATCGCGGCGTATCTGCCGAACGAGGCGGACACGATTCTGGAGACTATCGAGGCGTTTTCTTCAAGTCGAGTATCCCGGGCCGCTGCAGGTGAGCCACGCGGCAGCCTCTACCAAGCACGGTGCATTGATTAATCATTTCTGTATCATGGGAAGGGGTGTGTAAATGGGGCGGAGGGTGATTGTATCGTTGGCAATTCGTCGCGTGTTGTACCCAGGAACATCTGGGCAAGGAACGATGGTAAGGGAGGTAAAGATGGTGGTTGTTAGAATGGAAATGAGGCCGACTACGGTATTGACGTTCGGAACGTCATTTCTTTTTCCAGCTTTTTACTAACTGAGAGGGTGAACCCTCCTTTCCCTTTCGCCCTCGCTCTCCGCTTATTTAGTGAGCCACGTCTGCCATATTCTCGCTGACAGCTACCTTCCGCACACTTGCTCGCAAAACTCGGTCCCCTATTCTCACTTGATGTAGCTCCAATCCCCCGTTCCTTTATGGAGGGAAAACTCACAGCTTTCCGAGAGGGAATATAGAACTTGAGAACCATCCTATTCGGGGGGACGGGGTGTGAGGAGAAAGCGGCGGAAGGGAGAGCTTTGTTTCCGTACTTGTGAAGCTTATGCTTGCACGATGACACGCTGATTGTACATCTTTTTCCGCAACGAACGTGTCAAATGTGCCTGTGCATTCAGCAGTAACACACGTCCTGCTCGAATAGTTTGATGTGTACTTGTGACGAAAGCCCTTTCTCCTCGAACACCTCTTCGAACGCCCTTTTATCCACTTTCGCCCCTTGATGGTACCGAAACAGCTCCCTCTCCCGACGTGCTCTTTTCTCCCCCCCCACCTCAACCCTCCATTCCCCGCGCTCAATTCTAACCCACTCCCCTTGCCGTTTTCAAGTTTCAGCTCCCTCACGTGTCCTCCGCTAACCTTTTAACGTTCCGTAATTGCCGCGGCTCGCATTCCTTATTTCCTTCCCGCAATTGCATTGCGCACTTCCCCCCCGCCCACGCTCCTCTCCATTCTCACAACCACCAACTTCACCTCTTCTCCCATCCTTCCTTGCCCAGGTATTCCCGGGTGCAACACGCCATGACATGCCAACGATTGAATCGACCTCACCCATTAACACACCCTTTCCCATTTCCACACTCCTTCAGGTTTCCACGCTGAGCGCCATGCCCGAAATCAAACCACTTTTTTTCTTCTTTTCCCTGCTCCCAGACTCCTATCAACCTCCCATTCCTCTCTTCATCCCCTCCCTCTCTCCCTCCCGCTCGCCCGCCCCCCCCTCCCCCTCCCCCTCCCCCTCCCCCTCCCCCTCCCCCTCCCCCTCCTCCTTCCCCTCCCCCCCCTCTCCTCCTTCCCCTCCCCCTCCCCCTCCCCCTCCCCCTCCCCCTCCCCCTCCCCCTCCCCCTCCCCCTCCCCCTCCCCCCCCCCCCCCCCCCCCCCCCCCCCTCCCCCTCCCCCTCCCCCTTCCCCTCCCTCTCCTCCTCCCCCTCCCCGTCCCACTCCCCTTCCCCCTTCCGCCTTCCCCCTCTCCTCCTTCCTCCCTCCACCTCCCCCACAAGGTCATTCTGGCAGCGCACAACGCGCAGAACGACATGTACCGCCACGCTCCTTTCCCCTCCATGTTCCCCTCATCTTTTCCCCCTTCCCCTCCCATCTCTCCCCATCTCCCCTCAATCCCTCCCTTCCCCTCCTCTTCCCTCCACTTCCCCCTCCCCTCCCCTCCAATTCCCCCTCCCCCTTCCCGGAAGGTCGTCCTGGCGCACAACACGCCGCGCGACATACCAAAGTCGAACCACTCTCTGTCCTGCTCCCACACTCCCCGCTTCCGCCCCTTCCCCGTCCGCCTCCCTCTCTCCATCCCCTTCCCCCTCCCCCTCCCCCGAAGGTCATCCTGGCGTACAACACGCCGCGCGACATGCCCGAGATGGAGACAATCCTCGCGGAGATGGCGCGGCAGCGCCCGGACCGCTTCCTGGCGTACCGCGTGGTGCACTCGCGCTCCAAGGCCGAGAACGTGAACGCGGCGACGAAGCTCGTGCGCGGCGAGTTCGTGGGCGTGTTCGACGCCGACCACTGCCCCAACCCGGACTCGTTCATGCGCGCGTGGCGCTGGCTCAGCCACGGCTACGACATAGTCCAAGGCCACTGCCTCGTGCGCAACGGCGACGACAACTGGGTCGCGCAGGCCGTCGCGGTGGAGTTTGAAACGATCTACGCCGTCGGTCATCCGGGATCGGAGATAATCCACGGGTTCGGGTTCTTCGGCGGATCGAACGGGTTCTGGCGATCGGGGCTACTAGCGCAGATCGGCATGGACGGGTCCATGCTCACGGAGGATATAGACTCGTCTATACGCGTGCTTCTCGCGGGCGGGAGAATCAAATCCGATCCGGGGCTGATGTCTTCCGAGCTCGCGACGACGACGCTGAAGCAGATCTGGAATCAGAGACTGCGGTGGGCTCAAGGGTGGTTCCAGGTCTCCATGCGGCATTTCTTCTCTGCCATGGCTTGCCGGAATTTATCGGCCTTCCAACGGTTAGGGTTGTTTCATTTGTTCATCTGGCGGGAGATCTACCCGTGGATCTCGATGCAGATCCTGCCGTTGCTGGCGTTCATCTGCTACAAATCCAACGGCTTCGGCGGGATCAACTGGCTGGACGTGGTTTACATCTGTACGACGATTTTCACGTTTCTCTGCGGGCCCGTGCAGCTGCTGTTCGCGTTTCTGAAAGGCAGCCGCACGGTGCGGAAGCACGGCAACTGGTGGCTGCTGTACTTAGTGTTCGCGACGCTGTTCTACACGGAGTTTAAGAACGTGATCGCGCGCGTCGCGCATGTTAAGGAGTTCATGGGGGAGAAGGCGTGGATGGTCACGCCGCGCATGGTGTCCACGCACCGCCAGGCGCTGGCGGAGCAGCGCAAGCGGGAGTTGCGCGTGATGGTCCGATGATGATACTGATGATGGGAGGTGACTCAAAAGTGTCATACACATTAGTCATTTGTGAGCAGGGGAGAAGAGACAGGGGAGTGATTGGTGGCAGTAATGGTGGGTGGATGGTGACGGATGAGTGATGTTGGTGGGATGGTGGAACAGAGGTGGTATTGCTTATGGTGATGTCGGTGGTGTTTGTGGGGTGATGAGGGAGAGGAGGAGGTGGAGGGAGGAGAAAGAGACGGCAACGACGACGACGACGACGACGACGACGACGGCGACGACGACGATGATGACGATGACGACAACGACGATGACGGTGACGTCGATGCACTGCATTGCACCACCCCTGCTGCGTTTGACTGCAGCACAGCAGAGCATGACGAGCTCTTCGATCAATCCCGATTAATAAATCACTTGGAGCAAGGCCATGCGTGACATGCTCCGTCATGTCACGCCTCTCCCGCTCTGCACCCATCAGAGCCAATAAGGCCGTCCAAGCAGCGTCTTAGGCTGCAGCTGCAGCAGCAGCGCTGACTGCACCAGCGATAGTACCGGAATAGCATGTGGGGGAAGTAGTGGCAGAGAGTAAGACAATAATGCCGTAGTAATAACAGTTCTGTACTCCACACATTTGTTGGTTCTATTGCTGCTCGTGGTGTATTTATATTTATGACTATTTTGGGTTGGGCTGATCTTCTGCTGCTTTTAGAGTACGGTAATCCTTGTCATAACCACAGAAATGCGTCCGCAGGGCTTGTAACAACTGCATGGCATATCCTTCCGGCCATGCAGAGCAGACAGACAGGTGCGGTGAAGAGGCATGGAGGAGAGATGCGGAGAGAGATGGGATAAATAGTACCATATCATGATGATCTGTAGTAGTATGGTAGTTGCACCCATCATTATCACGAGCAAAATCACGGTACGAACCTTTTAGAGAATTCAAGTGCAGCTGCTATGGTACTGTACCATTACCGTATGTCTATGGAACAATATGTAACAATGTGACTCGGTAACCTAAGGAACAGCAGAGTGCCCTGGTTCATATGCTGGTACCAATTGGGTCGGTTCGGTAGTGGGTTATGCCCACCCAGAGCTAATTACAAGGCTAATCACATACGGTAGCTGGGGAGTCGTAGGTATGTGTCTTTCCCCCACAGGGCACGCTGCCTTGGTTGCAATCCTGGCTCCCGTTAACTACACCTACCATTCAGCGCATCAGTCACGCAGGAGCAACTGCAATACAGCCTCTGCAAGGCCCCCCACTCCAGGTTGCTGCTCCTGCTGTTGCTGCCGCTGCTGCTCCGGCTCCTGCTCCTGAACCCCCTGCTGCAGCTGCACCTGGTGTCTGTATCCCCCGAGGCCGTTTCCTCCAGTCTCCCTGTCCCCGTTCCCCTCACAAGCACCACTCCTAGCACCTCGTGCTGCCCCCCTCGCCTCCTCCCCATCACCGCTCCCCGATTCCAGTCTCCCTGGCGTTGAATGTACCCTTGCAGCAGCAGTGGCGCCAGCAGCAGCAATAGTAGCCGCAGAGCCAGAAGCAGTGCTGTCGTGGATTTGAGCAGCAGTGGAAGGCGCAGCAGCAGTGGCAGACGCAGCAGTAGCAGCAGCAGAGGGCTGCAGCAGGAGGTTCTGCAGCAGCAGCGCCCGGCGGTGCTGGCCGGAGCGGGAGAGCAACGCGAGGAGCGTGCGGTACGTCATGGCATCCGGATGCACGCTGGGGGGAATGGCGCGAGCAGGGAGAGGGGAGGAAGGGAGTGAGAGAAAGGCCGTCTTTTGAGGCGCCTCAGAAGAGAGCAGGAGCGTGCGGTACGTCATGGCATCCGGATGCACGCTGGGGGAAACGGCACCGGGGGGGGGAGGGGGGGGGGGGTGGTGGGGAATGGAGGGGAGAGAGGACGATAGCTATCAAAAGTCAATTCAGAGCGAGGAGCGTGCGATAAGTCATGGCATCCGGATGCACGCTGGGGGGAATGGCGCGAGCAGGGAGAGGGGAGGAAGGGAGTGAGAGAAAGGCCGTCTTTTGAGGCGCCTCAGAAGAGAGCAGGAGCGTGCGGTACGTCATGGCATCCGGATGCACGCTGGGGGGAATGCCACTGGGGGATGGGGGGGAGGGGGTGGGGTGGGGAAATGGAGGGGAGAGGGGGCGATAACGAGCTCTCAGAAGTCAATTCAGCAGGAGGAGCGTGCGGTAAGTCATGGCATCCGGATGGGGGGAATGACACGTGCAGGGAGAGGGAGGCAAGAGAGAGTGAGAGAAAGACCGTCTTTTGAGGCGCTTAGAAAAAGAGCAGCGCGAGGAGAGTGCGGCGGGTCATGGCATCTGATGCACCCTGGGGACAGCACGTGGCGGGGGACAAGAGAGGGAGAGAGAGAGGCGATGGAAAACTCTCAAAAGTCAATGCAGTACGAGGAGTGTGTGGTGGGTCATGGCTTCTGGATGCACGCTGGGGGGGAATGGAACGTGGGGGGAGGGGGGGGGAGGGGGGATATAAGTGGAGCATTTGAGAGAGAGAGAGAGAGAGAGAGAGAGAGAGAGAGAGAGAGAGAGAGAGAGAGAGAGAGAGAGAGAGAGAGAGAGAGAGAGAGAGAGAGAGAGAGAGAGAGAGAGAGGAAATCCAGTGTGAGGAGAGTGCGGGAACAGCGGTAGGAGTTGCGGGATGTGTTACCATCACACTCAGCACTGTCAAGAATTCTCACAAGTTTACACAACACTGCTTCACGACAGAAATTCTTGCTCCTTTCTCTCTCATCCCTTCATCTCATCATTTCACCACCACGCAACCACACATATCCACCACCACGGCCCCACTCCCACTCACCCTGCATCCAGCATCTTTGCATACACCTCTACTCCCCTCCTCCACCCTTTCCCACTCCTCTCCACCTTCTCCTCCCTCACCCCATCCTCCTCCTCCTCCTCCTCCTTCTCCCCCTCCCACTCGCCCTCCTCCCAAACCTCCTCCCCCTCTGAACTCCCTCCCTCTTCCCACTCGATCCGCACACCCTCCCCATCCCCAAACTCTCCCCTCTCACTCTTCCCTCCACCCTGCCCCCCCTCCTCTCCCTCCTCCCCTGCCTGCAACCGTGCTTGGTTTAGTGAGAGCTCAGCCGACTGAGAGGAGTCAACGGCAGTTCGTGAGACAGCCTGAGACCTCATACTGTCTGTGCCGTTTGTGCTGCTCGCGCTGCTTGTGTTTCGAGATACGTCAGAACCCAAGGAAGGAGGTGCGGGAGGGAGCGGCGAAGGCCTATGGGACAAGGAAGGTGGGCTTGATTCATCCGGCAAGGAGGGTGGGGGAGGAAGGTGGGCGGAGGAGGATTGGGCAGAGGCGGTAGGGTGGACAGCGGGGGATGAGTGAGCGGAGGGGTTGCGAGGGATGGAGAGGGTGGAGGAGGGGTTGGAGGGTGTGGAGGGGTGCAGCGAGGGCAGAGCGAGTTGGGACTGCGTGGTGTGGTGGAGTAGAGAGCCGAGGACGAGGTTGAAGGAGAGCAGGTTGGCAGGCACTCCGCACGCCAGCATGTGGTCCAATAACTGCTCGCATGGGGTGCGCGGGAGGGAAGGAAGACGTTTTGCAGGGGTGGGTGGTAGCATGTACATGCATGTGTGGCACGAGGTTGAAGGAGAGATAGATGGGGGGCACCCCGCACGCCAGCATGTGGTCTAGGAGCTGCCATGGATGGGGTAAGCAAGGGGGGAGAAAGGTCGGGAGACGGTGGGAAAAAGGTGAGAGGGCAGAGCGACGTGTGACTGCGTGGTGTGGTGGAGCAGCCAGCCAAGCACGAGGTTGAATGAGAGCAGGTTGGGAGGCACCCCGCACGCCAGCATGTGATCCAAGAGCTGCCACACATGGGGCAAAGGTGTGAGAGGGGGGGAAAGGGTCGGGAGACAGGACAGGACAAGGTGTGAGGGCAGAGCTATGTGGGACTGCGTGGTGTGGTGCAGCAGTGAGAAGAGCAGGTTAAAGGAGAGCAGGTTGGGAGGCACCCCGCACGCCAGCATGTGATCCAAGAGCTGCGCACGTGGGGTGGGGTGGGAGGGGGGAGGAAAAAGGTTCGGGAGAAGGTGCGGGGAAAAGGTGAGAGGGCAGAGCGACTTGGGACTGCGTGGTGTGGTGTGGTGTGGTGTGGTGTGGTGTGGTGTGGTGGAGCAGCGAACGAAGCACAAGGTTGAAAGAAAGGAGGTAAGGGGGCACCCCGCACGCCAGCATGAGATCCAAGAGCTGCCACGGATGGGGTAAGCAGGGAGAGAGAGGGAGTGAGAGGGCAGAGCGACGTGGGACTGTGTGGTGTGGTGTGGTGTGGTGTGGTGTGGTGTGGTGTGGTGTGGTGTGGTGGAGTAGAGAGCCAAGCATGAGGTTAGAGGTTGGGGGGCACTCCACACGCCAGTGATCCAATCCAAGAGCTGCCGCGGACGGGGAAAGAAGGTGGGAGGGAGGGCGTTTGAGCGGGTGTGAGAACACACGTGTCATGAGGTTGCAGGAGAGGAGGTCGGGGGGCACTCCACACGCCAGCATGTGATCCAAGAGCACACATGCCACGGATGTTATATGCAGGGGGCGCGAGGGGGAAGGGGATGTGAGTGAGAGGCTGGTGATGGGATTGGAGCGGCAGTGAGAGGGTGGGTATAGCAGCAGACCGAGCAGCGTACATACTACCAAGCACCACACACTTGAAATTTCTCACAAGAAGCACAGTGCGGCGCACTGACGTGCGTACATGCATGCATGCACCAGATTGTATGCATGTATGCATGCACCAGATTGTATGCATGTATGCATGCACCAGATTGTATGCATGTATGCATGCATGCACCAGATTGTATGCATGTATGCATGCATGCACCAGATTGTATGCATGTATGCATGCACCAGATTGTATGCATGTATGCATGCACCAGATTGTATGCATGTATGCATGCACCAGATTGTATGCATGTATGCATGCACCAGATTGTATGCATGTATGCATGCACCAGATTGTATGCATGTATGCATGCACCAGATTGTATGCATGTATGCATGCACCAGATTGTATGCATGTATGCATGCATGCACCAGATTGTATGCATGCATGCACGTGCCCGCCCGCCCGCCTTCCAAGCTGCCAAGAGCAGCTTGATCACCAGATTGTAGACCGAGCACAGATAGCGAGAAATACCCGCATGCACTGTGTGTGTGCACTGACTGACCTGCATGCACCGCGTGTGTGCACTGACTGACCTGCATGCACCGCGTGTGTGCACTGACTGACCTGCATGCACCGCGTGTGTGCACTGACTGACCTGCATGCACCGCGTGTGTGCACTGACTGACCTGCATGCACCGCGTGTGTGCACTGACTGACCTGCATGCACGTGCCGGCCTTCCAGGCAGCAGAGAGCGGCTTGAGCACCAGGTTGTATGAATGCGCGCACGTTACTAGATGGGCACAGATAGAGAGCGATACGTGCATGCACTGTGCGTACTGACCTGCATGCACCATGCGCACTGACCTGCATGCACGTGCCGGCCTTCCAGGCAGCAGAGAGCGGTTTGAGCACCAGGTTGTATGAATGCGCTGAGGGGCGCAGCCCCCATGAGGGGATGCTCTGCAGCACCTGATTGAATTGGGGGAGGGGGAAGCGGGAAGGAGAGATAGGGCATTGAGTCATGGTGGCATGGGGTTATGAGCGACTGATGGCATGTCTCAGCGTCAATCAAGAAAGCAGGACCGGCACCAGCCACACGAGCATCAGCACTCACTCACTCACACACTCACACACTCACTCATTCACGTCTGTCGACGATCGCTCGCACTCATCCCTGCCTCTCACCTTCAGTGCTTCAGCCGTAATGCCAGCCCGGGCAAGTGTGTCAATGACCAGGTTCAATCCCATGTGCGCATAGACACCGGCCAACATCACACGCGCATCTCTCGTCCACTGCTCACACTTACTCCCCTTCCACCCCCCCAACACAACTCACCTGCAGTGCTTCAGCCGTCATGCCAGCCCGGGCAAGTGTGTCAATGACCAGGTTCAATTCCATATGTGCGCATAGACACCGCCGGCCAACATCACATGCGCATCTCTCGTCCACTGCTCGCATGCACTCCCTTACCAACCACCCCCACGACACAACTCACCTGCATTGCTTCAGCCGTCACGCCTGACCGTGCAAGTGTGTCTATGACCAGGTTCAACGTGCGCATAGAGACCAGCGGCACACGCACATCCTCCCCCTTCCCAATGCCCCCTCCCCTCCCTCCCGTGCCCTTCCACTTCCCATCCTCATCTCCTCCCCCTCCTCCTCCTGTTCCTCCCGCTCCTCTTCCTCCTGCTTCCCCTGCTCCTGCTCCTACTCCTCCCTTAGTCAGCACATCATTTTCAGCATTCACAGCAGTTCCATTGGTCCCATCTCCACGCGATTCTCGTTCAAACCTGCTCCCCTCCCCTCGCCATCTCGCCACTTCTCCCCTCTTCCTCTCTTCCATCTCCCCTAACACCCCAGTTTCAACCTTATCCGCGACAGCCCTTTTGTCACCCCCCACACCCTGTTCCCCTCCCCCCCATTCCTCCACCCCCCGAAACCCACTCCACTCCTCCATTCTCTCCCCATAACCATCCGAATCGCTGCTCCAGCCACTACCAATGATGCTGCTCCTGCTGCTGCTGCTGCTACCATTGCCACTGCTGATAGCACTGCTGCCCCCCCTACCATCACTGCTCACACCACTCAAGTTGCTGCTCCTGGTCCCTATCGCCCCACTGCCCCCCAGTCCTTCCCCATCCCCCCCAACTGCCCCGCCTCCCCTTATTCCCGCTTGTCTTGCTGTCATATGTTGGTATATAGCCCATGCCTCTGCTCCGTTCCTTAGTCTGTGGAGTGAGGGGGGGAAGAGGCAAGCGGGGGTGGCAGAAAGCGAGTCGAGGGGCAAAGGGCAAAAGCTTTGTCATGCTGTCATATGTTGGTATGAAGCACACGCCTCTGCTCCGTTCCTTAGTCTGTGGAGGGGAGCGACAGAAGTGGCATGCGGGCGGGGGGAGTAAGGAACGATGGCTCGTGAAAGTAAAGGAGGTGGGAAAGAGGAGGAGAGGCAGAGGCAGAGGTGACAGAGAGAACAAGGAGAGGGAGAGGAGGAGGGTGAGACTGTGAGAGCAAAGAAGAGAGAGTGAACGCGAGTAAGAGAGTGGATGGTGCACATGTTTGCTGCAGATGCTGGTGCAGATGCCGCAGGGGTTGCAGATGCTGTGAGCGTGCATATATGCTGGTTGCTGGTGAGAACGTGTTTTGAGACATCTCACAAGCGGACAAGAGCATGAGCGGTAGAAAGATCAGTGGCGGGTTTGTAGTAGTGCTGGGTTTGTAGTTTGTAGCTGTAGCTTAGCCGTCTGTCTGCCTTACCTTGTGTATACCTTGCTGACATCAATAATACGAAGGACCGTTTGAGAAAGGGAGAGAGCAAGTGCATGTGAGCAGCAGGGTCAGGAACAGGGGCGGCGGCAGGTTACCTGTTACATGCAACGAGCATCTCGTTATACACCACTTCAGTAAACACGTCCATGCCCAACAGTGCCACTCCCCCTCGCCCTTCCGCCTCTCCCCCCACCTCCTCCTCCTCCTCCTCCCCCTGCTGCTGCTGCTGCTGCGTTTCCTGTGCCTCAGCCATGACCATGCGAGCAACCTGCAAGCACCGCGCGTGCCGCTCGCACAGGTTGAGTGCGCGCAGCAGCGCCGCCACTGCCACTGCGTCTGGGGCCACCCCTGCTGCTCTCATGCGCTCAAACATTGCTTCTGCGTCGTCCGGCGCTCCTGAGGTTCATACGAGTAGATGAATGGGGGCGAGAGAGAGATGGGGGATTTTCTGAGCCAACTAGAGACTCCATGAGCAAACACCAGTGGCACCGGCACTGCCACCCCTGCTGCTCTCATGCACTCAAACATCGCCTCTGCGTCGTCCGGCGCTCCTGAGGTTCGGGTTTGTGTGGATGCAGTGGGGAGGAGATGGGAAGGGAAGGGGTGGGGGTGGGGAAAAAAAGGTTAGAATCGGCTAAAAAGAATAATCCTGTGCATGTAGCAAAGCTGCCACTACAACTGCCACTGCGTCTGGGGCCACCCCTGCTGCTCTCATGCGCTCAAACATTGCCTCTGCGTCGTCCGGCGCTCCTGAGGTGCATGTGAGTAGATGAATGGGGGCGAGAGATGGGGGACTTTCTGAGCCAACTAGAAACTCGTTGAGCAAACACCAGCGGCACCGCCACTGCCACCCCTGCTGCTCTCATGCGGTCAAACATTGCTTCTGCATCGTCCGGCGCTCCTGAGGTGCATGGTTTGCGTGATGCAGGGGGAGGAGACGGCGAGACAAGGGAGTGGGTGGGGTGTGGGGTGGAATGGTTGGAGAGAAAGGTTAGAATCGGCTAGAAGAATGATCGGGTGCATGTAGTAGCAACGCTGCCACTGCTGCAACGCTGCCACTGCTGCAGCCGCCCACACGGGGGGGAACGATGGGCATGCACCACCCCCGCCCCCCCCTGCCCTGCCCTGCCCCGCCCTGCCCTGCCCTCGCTTGCCCTGCTCTACCCTGCCCTGCCATACGATGCACTGCCATGCCATGCCCTGTCATTCTGTACCCTTCCCATCCCACGCCCCATCCCACCCCGCTCCACCCCGCCCCACCCCGCCCCACCCCACCCCACCGTGCCGAGCGCGCACCTGCCCTGCCAGCAGCCTCGATGAGGCATGTGAAGGTGACCACGTTGGGCGTACATCCCAGCGCTGCCATGCGCTCCAATAGCGCGTACGCCTCTGCTAGCATGCCCTGCTCGCACGGGGAGGGGAGAGAGCGCAGAGACGGCAGGGAAGACGGGGAAAGGCGAATGAGAGAAGAGAGTAAGCGGTAATAAAGTTGGGCTGGCACCCCAGCGCTGCCATGCGCTCCAACAGATCAGGGACGGCATCCCAGCACACTCAAACGCCCTGAGCCTTAGTCCAGCACACTCACACGCCCTGTGCATTTGGCAAGGCCATAGGGCACGACTCACTCACTCACTCACTCACTCACTCACTCACTCACCCACTCACTCACTCACTCACTCACTCACCCACTCACTCACTCACTCACTCACTCACTCACGCACTCACCGTCTTGGCATAAGCGTCCATGAGCGACAAAGCACGGTGGCGCTCATGCGAATTCTCACTCACAAGCCACTCAGATCAGATGTAGCTAGCCAGGTCAACAGTCTCAATCCCAACCAACCTAAAGCGCACTCACCGCCTTGGCATAAGCATCCATGAGCGACGAAGCAGCCTCCACCGTGGCGCTCATGCCCCTTCTCTGCATCTCCTCAAACAGCCCCTCCGCGTCCGCCACCCGCCCCTCCTTGCCCGCATAGTCCACCAACACATTGAAAGTAATCTCGTCCCACTCCACCCCTTTCTCCACCATCCGCTCCGCAACCCGCGCCACCTGCGCGCCGTCCCCCGCTCGCGCTGCCACCCACAGAAGCGCGTTGTACGTCGTCGTGTTGAGCTGCACCCCTGCTGCTTCGGCTTCAGCTGCTAGGAGTGCGGCCTGTTCCGGGCGGTTGGCGCGGCCGCACGCTGCGATGAGAGCCGAGTAGGTGACGGCGGTGGGGGCGACTTTGGTGCCCCGGCGCGCGAGGAGGGAGTCTGGGTGCGCCCGGTACACTCCCCTGGGACTGCTGCTGGTGCTGCTGCTGCTGCTGCTGCTGCTGGTGGTAGTGCTGCTGCTGGTAGTGCTGCTGCTGGTGCTGGTGTTTCCTACTGCTGCTGTGTCCGTGCTGCCGGTGGCGCTGCTAATGATGCTCCTGCTCAGGGCACTGCCGCTGATGCTGCTACTGCTGCTGCTACCACTGCTGTCGCCGTCACCAGTCACACCCATCCCAGCCCCTCCATTCACTCCCCCATTCACCCCTCCCTTCACCCCCCCGCCCACGCCAACTCCCCCATTCCCCATTCCTGCACCCCCGTTCCCAATCCCCACTCCCCCGCCCACTCTCCCCGCCACGCCCAGCCCCACAGCCTCCATCTCAGCCTTAACCGCCAGAGCCTCATCCAACCTCCCCACACCTGATCCCCCGTTCCCCGTTCCTGCCCCCGTCCCCACCCCCACACCCACTCCCCCACCCACTCTCCCCGCCACGCCCAGCCCCGCAGCCTCCATCTCAGCCTTCACCGCGAGCGCCTCATCCAACCTCCCCACCCTCCCAAATGCGTCAATCAATGCATTAAACGTGACCACATTGGGCGAGCAGAACCGCCTTCTCATCAGCGCGAGCACCGCTGCGCCGTCATCCGGGCGCCCCGCCTTGCTGTACGCATTGATGAGGGACGAGTACGAGACCACGTCGGGCTCTATGCCTGCTTTGCGCATGGAGTCGAAGACAGCGCGCGCTTCCATGTGCATGCCCCACGCTGCGTATGCGTCCAGGAGCGTGTTGTATGTTACGCGGTTCGGCCGGATTCCCGTCGCCGCGCCTCCCCCTCCCGCCCCCCCTGCGCGTCCCCTTCCCCCTGCGCCTCCTTTCTTCCCCCCCCCGGCGCCACCCTCCCCCCCCGCTCCGCCTCCCCCCGCCGCCCCGCTTTCCCCCACCGCCCCGCTTCCCCCCGCCCCACTCTCCGCCAGCATACTATCAAACAGCGCCTGCGCATCTCTGTACCTCCCACTCGCCGCCAGTGCATGCAACACCACGTTATACGTCACCAGATTTGGCCGCCACGCCGCGCCGCTCCTCGCACCGCTCTTCATCCGCTCAAACATCCCCAGCACCGCGTCAAACTCCCCCAGGCGCGCGTGGCAGCAGAGCGCGATGTTGTGGGAGATCTGGTCGGGGCGCGCGCCGGGGAAGCTGCCGGCGCGCAGGCGCGAGAAGAGCGAGAGTGCGTGGCGGAACTGCTGGCCGTTCTTGAGCGCGGTGAGCAGCGTGTTGTACGAGACGATATCTGGAGCCACGCCGTCCGCCTGCATGCGGTCGAACATGAGCAGCGCCTGCTGCCACTGCCCCGTGCTGCCACACGCGTTTATCAGCGCGTTGTAGGCCTCCCGGCTGGGAGGGACCTGGGGGGGAAAGGGAGAGAAACAGGGGAAAGGGGAAGGCGGAGTGGAGAGTGGACCGGGAGAGGAGCGGATTGGAGCGGGAGGGGACAGGAGGGTGAGGTAACCAGAGGGAGGGAAGGGGTTTGGAGGGGTGCGGGACGGATGGGGAGAGGCGAGCAATGGGGGTAAAGGGGAGAGACCGGAGGGGAGGGACCCTGGGTGGGTCAGGGACCGGATGGGGAGGGGACAAGGAGGGAAGAGGGGAACAGAAGTTACGAGGGGAGGGGGGGGGAAGAGGAGGAAAATGGGTGAGACATGGTTGGGATGGATGGCCCATATATCAATTGAGAGCACTGGCTGATGTGCAATTCCCTTTGCACCCATTCCCTTTGCACCCATTCCCTTTGCACCCATTCCCTTTGCACCCATTCCCTTTGCACCCATTCCCTTTGCACCCATTCCCTTTGCACCCATTCCCTTTGCACCCATTCCCTTTGCACCCATTCCCTTTGCACCCATTCCCTTTGCACCCATTCCCTTTGCACCCATTCCCTTTGCACCCATTCCCTTTGCACCCATTCCCTTTGCACCCATTCCCTTTGCACCCATTCCCTTTGCACCCATTCCCTTTGCACCCATTCCCTTTGCACCCATTCCCTTTGCACCCATTCCCTTTGCACCCATTCCCTTTGCACCCATTCCCTTTGCACCCATTCCCTTTGCACCCATTCCCTTTGCACCCATTCCCTTTGCACCCATTCCCTTTGCACCCATTCCCTTTGCACCCATTCCCTTTGCACCCATTCCCTTTGCACCCATTCCCTTTGCACCCATTCCCTTTGCACCCATTCCCTTTGCACCCATTCCCTTTGCACCCATTCCCTTTGCACCCATTCCCTTTGCACCCATTCCCTTTGCACCCATTCCCTTTGCACCCATTCCCTTTGCACCCATTCCCTTTGCACCCATTCCCTTTGCACCCATTCCCTTTGCACCCATTCCCTTTGCACCCATTCCCTTTGCACCCATTCCCTTTGCACCCATTCCCTTTGCACCCATTCCCTTTGCACCCATTCCCTTTGCACCCATTCCCTTTGCACCCATTCCCTTTGCACCCATTCCCTTTGCACCCATTCCCTTTGCACCCATTCCCTTTGCACCCATTCCCTTTGCACCCATTCCCTTTGCACCCATTCCCTTTGCACCCATTCCCTTTGCACCCATTCCCTTTGCACCCATTCCCTTTGCACCCATTCCCTTTGCACCCATTCCCTTTGCACCCATTCCCTTTGCACCCATTCCCTTTGCACCCATTCCCTTTGCACCCATTCCCTTTGCACCCATTCCCTTTGCACCCATTCCCTTTGCACCCATTCCCTTTGCACCCATTCCCTTTGCACCCATTCCCTTTGCACCCATTCCCTTTGCACCCATTCCCTTTGCACCCATTCCCTTTGCACCCATTCCCTTTGCACCCATTCCCTTTGCACCCATTCCCTTTGCACCCATTCCCTTTGCACCCATTCCCTTTGCACCCATTCCCTTTGCACCCATTCCCTTTGCACCCATTCCCTTTGCACCCATTCCCTTTGCACCCATTCCCTTTGCACCCATTCCCTTTGCACCCATTCCCTTTGCACCCATTCCCTTTGCACCCATTCCCTTTGCACCCATTCCCTTTGCACCCATTCCCTTTGCACCCATTCCCTTTGCACCCATTCCCTTTGCACCCATTCCCTTTGCACCCATTCCCTTTGCACCCATTCCCTTTGCACCCATTCCCTTTGCACCCATTCCCTTTGCACCCATTCCCTTTGCACCCATTCCCTTTGCACCCATTCCCTTTGCACCCATTCCCTTTGCACCCATTCCCTTTGCACCCATTCCCTTTGCACCCATTCCCTTTGCACCCATTCCCTTTGCACCCATTCCCTTTGCACCCATTCCCTTTGCACCCATTCCCTTTGCACCCATTCCCTTTGCACCCATTCCCTTTGCACCCATTCCCTTTGCACCCATTCCCTTTGCACCCATTCCCTTTGCACCCATTCCCTTTGCACCCATTCCCTTTGCACCCATTCCCTTTGCACCCATTCCCTTTGCACCCATTCCCTTTGCACCCATTCCCTTTGCACCCATTCCCTTTGCACCCATTCCCTTTGCACCCATTCCCTTTGCACCCATTCCCTTTGCACCCATTCCCTTTGCACCCATTCCCTTTGCACCCATTCCCTTTGCACCCATTCCCTTTGCACCCATTCCCTTTGCACCCATTCCCTTTGCACCCATTCCCTTTGCACCCATTCCCTTTGCACCCATTCCCTTTGCACCCATTCCCTTTGCACCCATTCCCTTTGCACCCATTCCCTTTGCACCCATTCCCTTTGCACCCATTCCCTTTGCACCCATTCCCTTTGCACCCATTCCCTTTGCACCCATTCCCTTTGCACCCATTCCCTTTGCACCCATTCCCTTTGCACCCATTCCCTTTGCACCCATTCCCTTTGCACCCATTCCCTTTGCACCCATTCCCTTTGCACCCATTCCCTTTGCACCCATTCCCTTTGCACCCATTCCCTTTGCACCCATTCCCTTTGCACCCATTCCCTTTGCACCCATTCCCTTTGCACCCATTCCCTTTGCACCCATTCCCTTTGCACCCATTCCCTTTGCACCCATTCCCTTTGCACCCATTCCCTTTGCACCCATTCCCTTTGCACCCATTCCCTTTGCACCCATTCCCTTTGCACCCATTCCCTTTGCACCCATTCCCTTTGCACCCATTCCCTTTGCACCCATTCCCTTTGCACCCATTCCCTTTGCACCCATTCCCTTTGCACCCATTCCCTTTGCACCCATTCCCTTTGCACCCATTCCCTTTGCACCCATTCCCTTTGCACCCATTCCCTTTGCACCCATTCCCTTTGCACCCATTCCCTTTGCACCCATTCCCTTTGCACCCATTCCCTTTGCACCCATTCCCTTTGCACCCATTCCCTTTGCACCCATTCCCTTTGCACCCATTCCCTTTGCACCCATTCCCTTTGCACCCATTCCCTTTGCACCCATTCCCTTTGCACCCATTCCCTTTGCACCCATTCCCTTTGCACCCATTCCCTTTGCACCCATTCCCTTTGCACCCATTCCCTTTGCACCCATTCCCTTTGCACCCATTCCCTTTGCACCCATTCCCTTTGCACCCATTCCCTTTGCACCCATTCCCTTTGCACCCATTCCCTTTGCACCCATTCCCTTTGCACCCATTCCCTTTGCACCCATTCCCTTTGCACCCATTCCCTTTGCACCCATTCCCTTTGCACCCATTCCCTTTGCACCCATTCCCTTTGCACCCATTCCCTTTGCACCCATTCCCTTTGCACCCATTCCCTTTGCACCCATTCCCTTTGCACCCATTCCCTTTGCACCCATTCCCTTTGCACCCATTCCCTTTGCACCCATTCCCTTTGCACCCATTCCCTTTGCACCCATTCCCTTTGCACCCATTCCCTTTGCACCCATTCCCTTTGCACCCATTCCCTTTGCACCCATTCCCTTTGCACCCATTCCCTTTGCACCCATTCCCTTTGCACCCATTCCCTTTGCACCCATTCCCTTTGCACCCATTCCCTTTGCACCCATTCCCTTTGCACCCATTCCCTTTGCACCCATTCCCTTTGCACCCATTCCCTTTGCACCCATTCCCTTTGCACCCATTCCCTTTGCACCCATTCCCTTTGCACCCATTCCCTTTGCACCCATTCCCTTTGCACCCATTCCCTTTGCACCCATTCCCTTTGCACCCATTCCCTTTGCACCCATTCCCTTTGCACCCATTCCCTTTGCACCCATTCCCTTTGCACCCATTCCCTTTGCACCCATTCCCTTTGCACCCATTCCCTTTGCACCCATTCCCTTTGCACCCATTCCCTTTGCACCCATTCCCTTTGCACCCATTCCCTTTGCACCCATTCCCTTTGCACCCATTCCCTTTGCACCCATTCCCTTTGCACCCATTCCCTTTGCACCCATTCCCTTTGCACCCATTCCCTTTGCACCCATTCCCTTTGCACCCATTCCCTTTGCACCCATTCCCTTTGCACCCATTCCCTTTGCACCCATTCCCTTTGCACCCATTCCCTTTGCACCCATTCCCTTTGCACCCATTCCCTTTGCACCCATTCCCTTTGCACCCATTCCCTTTGCACCCATTCCCTTTGCACCCATTCCCTTTGCACCCATTCCCTTTGCACCCATTCCCTTTGCACCCATTCCCTTTGCACCCATTCCCTTTGCACCCATTCCCTTTGCACCCATTCCCTTTGCACCCATTCCCTTTGCACCCATTCCCTTTGCACCCATTCCCTTTGCACCCATTCCCTTTGCACCCATTCCCTTTGCACCCATTCCCTTTGCACCCATTCCCTTTGCACCCATTCCCTTTGCACCCATTCCCTTTGCACCCATTCCCTTTGCACCCATTCCCTTTGCACCCATTCCCTTTGCACCCATTCCCTTTGCACCCATTCCCTTTGCACCCATTCCCTTTGCACCCATTCCCTTTGCACCCATTCCCTTTGCACCCATTCCCTTTGCACCCATTCCCTTTGCACCCATTCCCTTTGCACCCATTCCCTTTGCACCCATTCCCTTTGCACCCATTCCCTTTGCACCCATTCCCTTTGCACCCATTCCCTTTGCACCCATTCCCTTTGCACCCATTCCCTTTGCACCCATTCCCTTTGCACCCATTCCCTTTGCACCCATTCCCTTTGCACCCATTCCCTTTGCACCCATTCCCTTTGCACCCATTCCCTTTGCACCCATTCCCTTTGCACCCATTCCCTTTGCACCCATTCCCTTTGCACCCATTCCCTTTGCACCCATTCCCTTTGCACCCATTCCCTTTGCACCCATTCCCTTTGCACCCATTC